ACAACATATTGTTTAGTTTTTGCTTTAATTTGTTTTAGTTTTTTATAGTTATGCCTTGACTCTACAGACAGACTTAGTTTATTTATTATTTACCAGTGTATATATGACTGTTGAATTGGTGTCACAGGGATGGAGGTCTACCCCGCCACGTCCCGGCTCCTGGACTTCGTCCCCGACCCGCTGCTGGTCGGCGTGCTGGGCGGCGCCGGCTTCATGTGCCTGGCGCTGCTGGTGCTGCTGGGGTCCGCCTGCCTCATCAGCCACAAGAGGGACCAGCGACGCAAAAAGAAGAAGGATGGTAAAATGCCCCTCACTCCAGAGACTCAGCAGACACTCACTTTGATGAACTGCATCATGAATATCATCATTTATTCAATAAAATATTGAAGGCACTTTCAATCCATTATATAAATCATACCCCACCGCATGGATTTGGCGCTCCTCTTGTCCCCCGCTCGTCCATCCAGTTGTAAAAGTTATTGATGTCATTTACATTACTTGCTAATTAGGGTAATTTCTCATTAGTGGCTGATAAATGTAAGTGTAATTAACTTTTTGGACAAGCCTGGGTGCCTCGGGCCCTATAATGGGCTCTTATTAGGGTTGATTATGTTTTTACTTCTTGGTCAGTGTGGTTGTATCCTAATGAGTCAGATACCATCTTGCCCCTCTCCCTCCCTTTCAGAGCCCCCTACTGCCATCTATAAGTGCTCCTCATCAATGTAAGTACCCCTTTATCATTTCATTATAATACCCCCCATTGGCCTTTCCCTGCGCTTTCCTTTAAATACGTGGAAAAGGCCAGCACTTCAGAATCCTTCTATTTCACATCTTCTTCCTCATCTTCCGCTATAGCTGCTGCTGCTGCTGCTGCTGCTGCTGTTTTGGTCTTTTTCTGTCTTCTCCGCCCCCTCTTTCACTCTCACTCGATCTTATTTTCTCTGTCGCTATTTCTCTTCCTCTTACACCTCCGGTTTTTCTTACAATTTTCTTCTGTCCCTCCTCCCTCTCTCCTTTTTCTCGCTCATACAGAAAGACTTCAGGCACCAGCAGTCCAGACAGTGTGTTGAAGAAATCCTTACTTCCAGCCAGCTCCCACTATCCCACATCCTCCTCTACCACCACCACCACCACCACCTCCTCCTCTTTGCAGACAGACTGTTCCTCCTTTAGCGCCGAGAATCATCATCATCATCATCATCGGCGGAAGCAACTCGCGTCCAACTACAGCCGAGGCCGCTTTGCTAAGACGCCTCTAAATTCTCCTTCTATCGAGCTGATCTCTAGAGCTCCAGATGGGAGGTTCATACTCCCACCTTACGACACGATGAGTGTTAACAGCAAGAAAAGTGTAAGGTATGACCATCCTGCTCGAGCTCGATCTGTGTCACTGTACTCAGAGAGGGAGGATAGAAAAGAGATGCCATTTGTGCTTTCCGTTGATCTGCCACCTTGCACACCAGAGACTAATTCCATGATTCAAACATGCGGCCATCGCGGCTCGTACATGTTGGATCAGAAGTCCAACTACGACGTCTTTCCTGATCTCAACAGCATGTGCTCAGACAGCAGTTTAGCCACCCCTATTCATCCAATAACTCCCACGTTCCCAGTGCTCCCGCATATCCGATCCAGCCTCGGTCAGCCGACGACGACCGCCAGCTCTCTGGTGCTGCAAATGGAGCACGAGCGCGAGAGGGGCAACCTCAGTCGGTGCCTGAAACTGGCTCAGGAGAGGGAGGAACTGGAGAGGGAGCTCCGGAGGTTCACGCTAGAGAGAACCTCCGTGAGGGAAATGAAGACTGAGCAGCCAGATTTGAGGAGGAGGGAGGATGACACCTGGGAGTACAAGAGCAGCACTTTGCCACACCGATACCACCAAAGCGGCAGAAGTTGTCTGTCGCCGAGTCCTTTCTCGTCCTCTTCTGTCCACTGGGAGGTCCATCCTCTTGAATTCCCTCCCACTCTCATGCCATCCAGAACCAGCCTCGGCGCATCGTCACCTGCGACTCCCACTTATTTTCAGTCCGGCAGCCATCATCCCTCTCCATTCTTCGCCAAACAGACCTCGCTACGATCGGAGGAGGCAGGAGGCAGTTTTTCGAAAGACAGATTAACTCCCCCGCATCCCTCCTCAAAGCACCAGAGACATGAAAGAGAAGAGGCAGCACCAGAGGGCCATGATAATTCACCACAATCCACAGTCTTAGAAATGCAAACGAGTGATTCATGCTCTGAGGCACAGAGACAGAGCAATCTTAGTCATGGCAGCCTTTCAACGTTGTCTTTCCATAGCAATAAATATAGTGGAAGATCTAATTCGGCTCTTGATGCCGTGCCAGACTCTTCAAAAGTGGAGGTACCGTTCCCCGAGCCCACTGACGAAGGCTTGTGTGTGGAGATGAGTGTGGATGAGCCAGAGTTTGAGGTGTGTGTAATGCGGCCTACGAAGCCGATGCTGCACCACAGGATCGCCTCTCATGTGCGTCACGGGCGTCCGCTGACCCGACAAGGGCGGCACGAAAACGTTAGGAGGAGCACGAGTTTTAACAGTCCTGCCTCGGTGGACAACATCATCAGGGCCACAGATTCCTCGCAAGCCTCAAGACCCGAACTCTGGAGAGCCGTGAGCCAAGGCTCGAAAGTCTGGGACCCGAAGCAGCGAAGTCAGAGTCTAGACTTGAGAACACGGAGACAGACACGGAGCGATTTCTTGACTCCGGATGCGTGGATCGACTCTCTGAGCCAAGAGAATTGCTCTGTTGCACCACCTCGTCATGCAGACTCTCTGTTCTGGAAACCTCGCAGCTCTCCGTCCAGGAAGGTGTCCAAATCTCCCGCAAATTCTCCTCCTGCTACCCAAGCTGCCTCCCATTCACCTCCTGCTCAGGAGTCTTTATCTCCAAGAAGCAGTCCAGAGAGGCCCGAACCAAATCAGGACGTGCCTTGCCGCTACGAGCCAAGAAGGGAGGCGTCCCTCTTGCCCGACGCTGCCAAATGGCCGGTCGCCTACCACGAGGCCACGGAAGAGGCAGGAGGTTACAGGCGGGCCGCGAGGGAAGCTTCCATATGCTTGGCGCCCGACAACAACGATCAAGAGGTGCTGGACGTGGAGGCGGGAAGCTACGAGGAAGTGCCAGAGTCGGGGGGGAGCTACAGCAGCTACGCCAGCAGCGGCCGAGGCAGCATGGAGGCCACCAACGGGCGACTGTCGCTGTGTCACCTTTCCCCAACCCTCGCCAGCTCACCTGAGACCATAGAGGACATCCAGGGGAGCTCAGAGGACAAGCACAGCCTGCAGGTGGATCCGAGCCAAAGGTATTAAGACATAATGAATGAGGGAAATTACGTTTTATAGAAAAAAATTGCGGATGCCTGCGTTTGTAGCGCGAGAGAACCCCGCGTGGTCGATATGAGGCTTTCAAGGTGAGACTAATATACAGGATTTAATACAATTTATAGAGAGAAATACAAAAAGTACATTGTGTTGGGAGATTATAGTTATCTGTCACATACTCCATATCACTTTCAATGGCTCTCTAAGGCAAGTTCAGTCTTTTCAAACAAGAAAAAAAACAACTTTCTGGTGTCTAATCCTGTTCTCTATATAATCAATCCATTTAAGTAGCTCAACAAATAGTGATGAATTGTGTAGCATTACAAGTTTTTAATAACTGAGAACCAAAGAGATTATAGAGCCTCTATAGGTAAGCGTTTAATCACTGTTGAAATGAGCAACAATTCAATTATGTAAAGTATCTCGCTGCTAACAATCTGCTCAGTTTAAAATAAAAAACTGTTTGGAGTAGAGGAAAGAAGTAGTTCACGGTGAGAATATATAGCGTATTGGGAGGCATTAATGAGCGTGTGCATTAAACATCCCAACTGTGTTTATATTTGGTGTTAAAGCGATGTTTTGTGGCCTCTCCAGGAGGAAGGCCTCCGTAGACGAGAATTATGAATGGGATGCTGCGGAGTTCTGCCCAGAGCCCGGAGAACACGACGGTGAGTGGGTTTTTTTCCGCTATTACTAACAACGCGGTTCATGTTCTGGTACAGACTTGGGCGGAAAAACTACTTAAACCTGCCTGTTGAGAATCACTGAGAGAAGAGTACTTGGACTCGGTAACAAACCGCTAACCAGTGGGAACGTCGTGCTCTAAGTGGAGGAAAACCTGAGTCAGAAACAGTGATATTCTGCTGAGTGTTTCTTGAGAATGTGGAGCAAATAGCAAAGTTCTGCTCCTCTAATTGACTCTCTCGCTGTCCAGATCGCCAACTCCACCTGTTTTCACGCTATCAGGCAGCATTACTTTGTTATTAAATAGAACAAGAAAAGGCTACTATTTGTGCTGCAGTGTGATTTAAAGGTGGAGTCTGCGATTCTGAAGAGAGGTTATTCATATTTAGGGAGTTGGAATCTGCCAAATTTACTATAATGCTCATCACCGCTATTCCTTCCTTCCTTCCTTTCTAAGCCTCATGAATTTGAAAAAAACTACTTAAATTGCCAAAATACAGCAAAATACTGTCTTTAAGGTTGTTGTAGCAGCGCCAAGGGTTGCATTGGACCATTGTTAGCGATGTTGGACGCTGCAAATTTTACCCTGTTGCTCATTTAGACAAACTTTTTTGTCTTGAGCAACTATGGCTTAGTGGCAAAATGTAGCCTGTAGTTCCTCTGGATGAAACTCATGCTGACATTCCAGAGTTCCTGAACTGGCTCCTGGTTGCCGGACAAAGTTGGTGCAGTGGAGATGAGCAAAATGGATGGAGAATAATTGCAATAAAACTATAGTCTATAAGTGCATCTATATTGTTGCACAGCTTTTTAAATAGGGTTATTGGTTGTTGTCCTTTTGCGTATTCCAATTAGTTTACATTGTGTCGCCTTGCACACACATTCTCAGGCAACTATTCTGCACATTGAAAGTATTTCTATTAGTCTTTATGAGTCTCTTGATTACACTCCTTTCTTATTTGTCTTTGCTACATTTATTTAATCTATTCATTACTGTTTACTGTTATTTACTAAAGCACAGTCACATTCCTCGTATGTAAACAACCTGCTTGCTGGTTTCTGATTAAATCCGACGTCCATTCACCGACTGTTAGTGGCAGCGTGTGTGGTTAGAGAGCAACGTTTTCACAGTCATTACGGCAACACTTAGCAGTTCTCCGTTTGATCCCGGTGACATTTGTTACTGTATTTCCACGAGCGAATTAAGTGGAAGGTCAGAAATGTTTTCGCTCTCTACATCCTCTGAATTTAAATCGAAAGCTGACCTGCGCTCGGAAGCCGACGCTTCACATCCGATCCGTGACCTGAGAGTAAAATATAGGGAAACTCGCAGATACTGTAATTTCACAAGTTTCCTTTTCACCCACAGGTCTGCTTCCTTCATTGAATCTACTGAAGCCTGCTCCGCGCCGCAGCCTTCCCGGCATACAGTGCTCCACTAAGGCACTGAAAAATTGCACTCAGCTTTCTTTGCTCCCGGGGCATCAAAGCAGCTGCTCTGCTGAGCCAGAACCAGACACCGTGCTGTTCTGACAGCGCCAGCCTTCGGCTCATCTCACCTGGTGTGTCTTTTCACGTATTGACTCGCATCAGAAGGCAACAAAAAGTGCATGTGGCAGAAAGTGAGCCTTTGTGTGGTCAATCGCTTTTCTTTTTTTTCAAACGGGGGGGAGAAGAAAAAAAAAAAAAAGCTTTCTCGAGTAGAGGGTGTTCTGTTTGGTCTCTTTGTTAAGCTTCAATTGAAAAGTAATCATTTTCAACACATACAGGTCTCAGTAAAGGAAAAAAGAAGTGCCGGAGACAGAAAATCCCCTCGAAACTTATGCAGAGCTTTCAAATTTTGTTTTGCTTTGTGACCCAACGCCATCACGCTTTTGACATTTTCCTTTTTCCGAGAGGGTCTGTCAATCTGCCAATATCAAAGCGTTCCATTGTGCTGATAAATTCACCGCGTTCTCTTGTGTAGCTCGATATGCATTCATCATCCGGGGATGACTCAGTCGCTACACAGGGGACGAGACGATCTCAGTCATCATCGAGTGACTAGTTTCTGCCGTGGATGATTACGCTTTTTCGATATCATCCATCACCTTTGGGTTTAACTAAAAGAAGTGTTTATGAAATGTCAACAAATAAGGAAGATGAATAGAATGTAAAAGGTTATTCTGCTGCACTGTTACTGTTTTTCTTCAGTGTAACACTCCTTCTGAAAGTGTAATTTCCCGGCAGAGATAGTTATCTACTTTTTTCTATTTTTTTCCGTTACAAAATGGGAATTTTTATCATGTGAAAAAATCTCCTCCTCTGGATGAAAGGCTTCGTTTCCTCCCTGTCCTTGGTTGTTTTTTTTTTAAATTATGTCCAGTAATTATAGAGAGTCAACTTGTTAGGTTTGTCCTTGTTTATGATTTCAATAGTCATAAAAGGAAATCAGCTTGTTTTGCCTAATTTACACGGGGGGTCAGTCCACTGAATGATGACTGTATAAGTGGAAGAAAAAAACCAGCAGTTATTCACGTTGACACTTGGGAGATAACGGCGGCGCTGATAAGTGGCACCGGTTGAATGCTTCCCTCGTTGGAGGGCATATCAGCTCATTTTCCTGCTTATTGATTATCATCTTGCAATCAAATTGTACATTAGCGGTATCATTTTTTTTGCAAAACACCGTTGCACAAATTGATGCCTTTTATGAGTGCTCAGTCATATCAGTATTTATTAAAAGAAGACATCCAGAGCCAAATCTGTTTATTTTAATGGAATCCCCACGGTCAGGTGATTTGCTCTTTATGTTTGTGTTATAATGTAAGTTTTTCAACATTTTAATCAACATCCAGAGTGTAATTAAGGCTGAGAAACTATGATTTGCATAATATATGATGTGGAGGTGCATGAAAAGAACTTCAAGGATGAAGGCCTCATGGCAGCGGAACATGTATTCGATGTAATTAAACCCAGTTTCGTTTGATATGGTGCTATATTATAATAGCTTTTTTTTTTATCCCTCATGCAACAGCCTGCAATCATACAACCACTCCGAGTTGTGTGATTGCGGAGCTCCTTGCATGAAGGTGAACGCTCTCTGCAAACACAAGTCTTTTTTTCTGCAATTTGACCTTTGAGGGAATGTAAAGGAATCAAGAGAACGCAACGTGGAGGAAGCCATCTTATTGTCTGCTTCTCCTCCATTCACTCATAGCCATTTTTAGCCATACAGTAGGCGAGCTAAAGGATGCCAGAGAGGAGGCAGAAATAACACCGCTCGCGCTGCACTAAACACCGGATGCCGAGAGAAATCTGCCGCCAATTCCACGGAGTGGGGGGGGGACAGCCAGCAAGGAGCTGATGCTCGCTGTCATATCATTAACTCTTCGCTTATTTGCAGTTGCATAATAACCATCAGATATTAATCGAGATGTTCCTAAAACGAGGCAGCTGCGAGCAAATGCGAGAGCCGTGATTGTTTTTGGCCCCTTTAGTTTCACTGAAGCGATGCCAACTAGTGCTTTTGATGTGCTACCTTCTGGATGACTGGGCACTCCAAATGTTGTTCGCCGAAAGACAAACATCAAACATGGGTTTGATTATTTTATGAGCAGTATACATTTCCCAGGTTGTGATGCGCATCGATCGCGAAACATTTCCACCAAAGCTGCACTTCCTGCTGCAGATTATTTAGCTCCAGCGGATCAAAACCGTCGCCCCTGAACCTACTGAGAGAAACATGCCTCATGCTCTCTTTTTCTTCATGAACAATGGAGGAGAGGGAAAAAAAGGGGAAAAAATGGGTTTTTGCTTGCTGCTTCTCTAGCTTAAGGCTTTCACATTAGTCAAGCAAATAATTAACTCAGAAATCCACAGTGTACCAAAGCATTGTGGGGTATCCATCCTATAATTGAAATTCACTCGTAGAGGCTACATTTACTGCAAATCAATGTTTCACTTCTGTAGAACATTTTCATTTTCTGCTGTACACATATTGTACCCCAAGTCCATAATGAGCCGGCCCCATGTGCTGCTCTGGGGATTTGTAGTCAGCACTAGTTTTTTTCTTGTTGCCCACGTTTTTGAAATTGAATCTAAATGTTGCATTTTCCATACAAGAACAAGAAAAAGTACATGAATATATTTTTTTTCCATACTGTGCTGACATTCAAGGTCTTGAATAGCGGAATCATAAGAAAAACTGTGATGCATTGTATGTCGAGTGTCTTTTTTTTTTTCTTTTTTTTTGGTACTTAATCATAAAATGTTCCTTCAGAAAATGAAAAGCACAAGACTGGCTGGCAGCTGCGCAACATCTC